TGTGTGTGTGTGTGTGTATGTGTGTGTGTGTGTGTGTGTATGTGTGTGTGTGTGTTTCCCTTTCTTAACCCTCCCCCCTCCCCCAGGCAATGCTGAGCGAAGTAAGCAGGATGCTTGCGGGGAGCCAAAAATGATTAGGTCCGACTCATCGTTGTTGGAATCAATGAAGTTTTTAAAATTTTAAATTTTAAAAAAAAAATTTTTAATTTTTAAATTTTAAATTTTTTTTTTAATTTTTTTAAAATTTTTAAAAAACTAGGCTAATGCCTAGTTTTTTATTGTTAAAATTTAAAAACGATCTCTGGCTAAAATGATTAAAAACTACGAGCCTTCGACTGCCCGAACTGCAGTCTTCAACGGGTAAAATGAATGATAAGAAAGCGATGAGAAAATTTAAATAAAGACATGAACTGCGAAATAATGAGAATGTAAATGATTGTGAATATTTGTTAAAAAGAATATTGTATTGTCCAAGTAACGGGCAAGAATTGTTATCTGCTTTAGGTGTCACTCTGGTATGCCACGCTTCTAATGATTTTCTGGTTCTAAAAGTGCCTTTGTCAATAATTGACGCGTTTTCAAAATCAATGGCGTGGTTGTTGGACCAGGCGTGATTAGCAATTCTTGAACCTTTGGCCGGAGTTTTGATATTTCTCAAATGTTCTTTTTTCCGGGTATTAAAGCTCTACTGGTTTCCCCAATGTAACACCACGAGCAATTTGCACAGGGAATTTTATATACGACGTTGTTCTGCGATTCCATCGAAGGTCTGAATTTTGAGCTGGGACCTGTTGTTGTAGAGTGGTAACTGGTTTGTTTACAGGCAACTGTGACATCGTGTTTCTTGAGGACACGTGTCAAGGGTTCAGTTACTCCTTTGATGTAAGGAAGAGAAGCCAAAGACTTGCGTGACTCGGTTGGTTCAACCATCTTGAAAAAAATTCCAACGAGTTCCTCTGGGGATACATTTGTTGTTGAGGATCGGATTTTTCTAGTTTTTTATTATTTGTCACCTCATATTCCTCTGTTTATCTTTTATCGGCAGTTCATTATGCTTGCAGATGTAGATGTAACAAATAAATCTTTAAAAAGCAGTGATAAGCTCAGTTCAGCAAGCACTTATGAAAATCAGTCGAGTGAATTTTATGAGGTCAGGGAACTGTTTTTCTCTGATTCTGGGCTCCTAAAAGCGAGGTCAAGTTCCAAGTTACTCTGGCCTTTGTTGGTAATGAATGATCCAAGACGTCCACGTATTCTTCCCTCTCGATGCGATTTACTTTCAGAATATTGGTATCCGTCGCGTGAAAAGTAAAAAGGTTTGCCATCTTGAACCACTCCCAGAAGACTTGCCGAGGCCAGCTGACCTGAAGAATGAGTTACAAATGGTATGTGTAAAGGTGATTGGAAAACCTACACAAACACGGGACAAGGATCATTATTTTGGGACCGCACGTGTCAAAATAAGAAATGAAATTTGTCCATATTATTATTTACTATTAAAGCTTGGGGTTTCGTCGGCAAACAGGTTACCAATGATGTTCGAAAACAGCCATCTTAAGCCTTTAACTTCCAAGATCTGATTGAAAATTCTCCCCTCCAGCTGCTACACATTTCCTTGTAAGTTAGTTACGAAAATTTGGTGCCTGATCAAGATAATAACTTCTAACTGATAAGTTTATGTATTCTCATAACCTGTTTGCTGGATAAAGTATGGATATTATAGGGAGAAGTTACATGTTAATCACTTCTGGGAGTTTAAAGGGTAAGAGACCCCGGGGAAACAAAGAATCTCTCAAAATTAACTCGCTTTTTCAGATTGTTTTTCTTTTCGATCCAACCCGCTTTCATCATCCACATAACGTTTCAAAGAAGCATACTTATCATGTAACTTTCAAGACTAGAGAAGAGATATGTCAATTTTGTAAGCGCATGGATTGTGCCAAGATATACTTCTCTTTAGTTTTGGTTGATTCGTTAATGGTGTTTACAAACTCTTCTATTTATGCGGCGTGGCGTCGAAGGCCAATGAGAAAATCTGGTCTTTAAGCAGAATAAAGTCATTTTATATCGTTTACCTTTATATTTTTTTATTTTGCATATACAGCCAGATGAAGCTCCTCCTTTCGAGGACAAGATCATTAAGCATAAATATTGGATTGTCACAGAGCAGGTTGATAAAAGCCAACTGAGGGAAGAGGTGCAACAATTTTGTGACAAGTTCCCAGTTTACCGCTTGTTGGAGGTTGACTTGAATGCAACATACGGAGAACGGACACGCTTTGGTAAGACAGTCTAGATAGCTTAGGCAACACTTGATTGTGTAGTCAATTAATAACTCTTTTCGGTGATTGTGGACAACCTGACAACCTAAGCGGAAGTCATGATCATCAGAATCAAGCGAGGAGTTGTATGTCACTCGAATGTTGTCCATGTGACTCGTCAGAAGACCGATCAATTGTATTATTGCCATTATTAATTTATTTTATTTTTTCCAAAAGCATGCTTTACTTTCCATACATAAACTCCCTTACAACGTATTACCTACCATAATAATTTGAATGAGCTCAGCCCAATCATTTTCAAACGGTCATAATAGCTGATGATAGTTTAACAATCATGCGCGTTTGAACACGAGCTATCATACACTATCATCGACTATCATCAACTATCATGTAGGTTGGACTGTTAAAATTTGACTTACTAGTTGGCGGTATTTTTTGCCGTTTGATCGAGCAGATGATATTGAATGATAGTTTTTTGGTCTCAAACGGGCTCAAACCGAAATTGCAAATTGTAAAATGACTAAAATAGCTGTCAAAATTTTGAAGAATGTCCCGTAGCTTATCTCATAAGAGAGCCTTCAATTCCGCGCTAAATACCTCGCTTCGTTAACCGATCAGAATGCGAGATTTAATTCAATGATACGATTCTATATTAAACAGGAGAATGATATTTAATCGTTTTGGACCATCTTGGTACCAGTCATTATTTGTCATCGGCCGGGAGGGGGAGGGCAGCGGAGGATTTTGCCAGGGGGATGAAAGGGTTTTCAGGGGGAACGTAGGGGGTCAGGGTATAACGGGGCGACTATAGAGAATTGATTGCCAATTAACTACCCATGAGGAAGGGATCATATGAAGAGTCTCACCCCCTTCCAGCGATAAATAACGACCGAACCCTTTTCAAAATTTTTCCTTTATTTCACAGGAAGGCAGATCACAAACATGCTAGAAAAGTTGAATTCACTTACCTTTTGTCGCGAGTATCAAAACACACCTTGCCGTCCTGAGGAGTATGTTTTTCGAATCAAAGTCTTGAATAGCAAAAAGTGTACATATTGGTGGCTTAGTTGCAAATTTAATGAGCAGATGAAATTGGACGATTGTAACAAATGGCATCATCAGTTTAACAGCATGGTCTGTTATGAAGTCCATTGCCCAGATGCCACAACAGCAGCAACTTCAACAGTATCCCACGGTAACAGCAATGGATTATTATAATTCGAAATTAGTTATCAGTAAGTTAAAGAAGCAAGCCGTCACAACATACACACTTATATATCAGATGATGTGTATGATGACTTAAAATAAGCTATAAATTCTTATTAAAAAAAGTTAAAATAAGAAGCACTATGCTTCCGAACCTAGCCCATAATTGTAGAGTACATTTTACGAACATGTTAAAGACTGATTTGTGTCAGTTCAAGCTCGTGTAACGAGTTAAAACTGAAATAAAGCTATTTTTTTCATTTGATGACAATCTTTATTAAGTTCGCTAACAGAGCCCTATGGTACCTTGAGTTAACATTATCAAAACCGTAAATGCGTTGAGTGATGCAGACAGATTTTTTTCTCCCAAAATAGCATTGTGCTGAAGACAGTAAGGAAAATTAATGAGATCTTGGGAGTGAGAAGGTTAAGAAGTGTCAATAAAACTTAGATTTTCCTTTGCATGACTTAGTTGAAGTTACAACGCCCAAATGATATATTTCGTGTGGAGTACCTAGTTATTGTATTAGCTCGTGACAAAAGTTTACATTGATATTTGCTTCGGCCTTAGGAATTGGCTTAGACGACGTTGCGAAATTTCAGTTTCATAGGGCATGCGTGCAAAAAACCGGCTTTGAATGCTATAAATAATACTGACTTGGAATATAAGGCAAGGCGTTGTAGATTAAAGAAGCAAGGTCTTCCACAGAAAAAGCAATTGCTGCTCGCGGCACGACCACTGTAAACTCTTGAGAAAAATGACCATAGTTATTAACGTGGTTAGGAGAAACGTTGAATTAAGTCTTAAGCGGTTGGCTGACACATTTGATAACAATAAAACTCACTTCTTTCTTTGCATCTCTGGCAGTGTAACGATTAACGCGAAAAAATTTAATCGTTGACTTCCGCCTGCTCCCATTTCTAAAGTTGAAGCCAGTTCATAACCGAAACTATCACGTAAAAGATAAAAACACACTTTCATTTCTGATACTTGAGTGATTGATAGTTTTTAGTTTTTAGTTTTTTAGCTCTTTGGTACAAGAGCGCTCTCTTTTTTGATTCCACTCACCACAAAATGACTTGCTGAGAGACTTTCAATAACACTAAGCTCTTGCGCTTCAATTCAATTGTTTGAATTGATATTCACGTAGAGATGCAGCTGTGACAGTGAAGTGCACTATTCATCATGACCAAGGAATTGCCTCCGGCATATTTTGAATGAAGGCAGGCCACACAGATGCGAGAAAACTGGGGTATCTTTGGGGGGAAGAGTATGCACTTTTAAGCCCCAGTCTATAAAAAATATCCACACACAGCACAACTGAACTTTTTGATGTGTCGCTATACAGAAAGGTATAGCAATATTTGCTAAATGACAAGTCTAGCGATGAAAACAAAAATTAATTATGCTTAATTTTCTCAAGTACAAATGCATTTTATTACCGGATGCTAATAAGTTGTCTCTCTTTCTTTATTCGCTTTCAATTAATAGTTCATTACATCACATAATACATACTACATGATTAACAAGATACGGTTGCTCAAGAATTTTCGCCCTCTGATGGTACGAAAATCACTTCATATCACGCTAGAAGGTACCATGCAAGAGCGTTGGACCTTTTGAGATCGAACTGGCCGCAAATGACTTCTTGATGGACATTTTCAGGCTTTTAAGCAATTTTTTTTTATAAATGAACACTACGCATTACGACGTTTTATGGCGTTCTTGCTTACCCTTCTGAATATACTACAACAGTTACTCGCCAACAACCGTCATGATATGTTATAATTTCAGTCTATAACATTGAAGTAAAGAAGGCCGAAACAGTACTGTCTGCAGTTAGTTATATATATATATATATATATTGTGGGAGGAAAAAGACAAGTAAACTAGACAAGTAAGAAAGTAAGTAAGTAAAAGACAAGTAAGTAAAAGACAAGTAAACATTGAAGTAAAAGAAGGCCGAAAC